GGATGTAGTATATGAAGAATTATGACTTTGATAATGTTTTCAAGTGGAACCTGAGAGGATGTTTATTTAGAAGAAAGGGAGCCGTTTTTAGGGTGACGCCCCATAGAAGACAGGGGATTGGACAGTAGAGGGAGCCACCCATATTTGGGGGAATATTATAAGTACTGGATGGAGACAAAGAAGGGCAGAGCGGCCATTGCAATTTGGGAAACACTGCTCTCCGGGTGATCATGACATCTGTAAACTTATGCTGAAATCTTGTGACATGAATAAAACTTATGATCAAAGTTCAGTATAAGCGGACTCCTTTGTTTAACAGCAATAATTAGCAACATTGACTCGACACTACAAAATCCAAAGCTTTTTACTATCATTCTTTATGTCATTTATCTTTGTTTCATAGTGTAGTTTCTTCTTCTTTTTATTCAGTTTAGTCATATGATTTCTCAATTTGCAATACGTTTGCCAATCAGTTGTGCAGCCAGACTTATTTGCCATTCCTTTTGCCTCATCCCTCTCAACCATACCATTTAAAATTCCTCATCAATCCACAGGGATTTAACAGTTTTTACAGTCATTTTCTTAATGGGTGCATGCTTATTAGTAACTGGAATAAGCAATTTCATAAATGTGTCAAGTGCAGTGTCTGTTTGCTCCTCATTACACACCACGGACCAACATATATTCTTTACATCAACAACATAGGAATAACTACAAAACGTATTGTATGACCTCTTATACACAATATTAGGCCCAGCCTTTGGAACTTTGGTTTTCCTAGATATGGCTACTATATTGTGATCACTACATCCAATGGATTTGGATACTGCTTTCAAATAAATCTCTGCAGTATTAGTAAAGATATGATCAATACATGTTGATGATTTCATTCCTGTACTGTTTGTAACTACCCTGGTAGGTTGACTGATAACCTGAACCAGGTTGCAGGCACTGGTTACAGTTTGAAGCTTTCTCTTGAGTGGGCAGCCTGATGAAAGCCAGTCAATATTTAAATCACCCAGAAAGTATACCTCTCTATTGATATCACATACATTATCAAGCATTTCCAACATGTTATCCAGATACTGACTGTTAGCACTTGGTGGTCTATAGCAGCTTCCCACCAGAATGGGCTTTAGGTGAGGCAGATGAACCTGTAGCCATATTCCGTCAACAGTATTTAACATGAGATCCTCTCTAATCTTCACAGGAATGTGGTTCTGAATATAAACAGCAACACCTCCACCATTGGCATTTCTATATTTTCTGTAAATATTATAACCTTGTATTGCTACCACTGTATCATCAAAGGTATTATCTAAGTGTGTTTCAGCGATAGTGAGAATATGAATGTCATCTGTTACTAGCAAATGATTGATTTCATTTCTTAAGCTACATATGTTAACGTGGGCTATTTTGAGCACTTTTCTTCTGGGATGCTTACATGTTTTTATTGCTTTACTGGGAAGCTTAGCAGCAGTAGATGTGTTCATGTTCTTTATGTTAGTGCAGGGTGAGCTGCACACAGTGGACTTCCTCCTAGGGCACACCGGCTCAGTGCTAACAGTATAAATCTGGTTCTTAGGCACATGATTACTGCATACAATAGCTGTAGGATCAGCAGAGGCATTCAGGGCAGTTAGAGGGACAAAAATTTGGTTACTTATATTGTGTCTACCGACGCCCCTGGTGTAATGTATATTTGCTGAAGCATTATGACAACTCTGTGTCACAATGGTAGGGATTAGCTGAGCTGGGCTTGGGTCATTGATAAGTTATTGTCTCAACGCAGCCTTATAATGCTGTGAAAGAATCCAGGAACCCAAATGATTGGGGTGGATCCCATCCTCCTTATAAAACATGTTTTGTTTCCAAAAGGTATTGAAATTGTAAACAAAAGTTACACCCATTGAGCTGCAATAATCACGTAGCCAGTTGTGAAGAGAAAGAATCCTGCTAAAGCTTTCAAAGCCACGATTCAGAGAGGGCACAAGGCCAGATATGATGTACTGTACTGATACAGTGTGGGAAGTATGAGAGGGAAAGAGAGAGGCTGAGATCCAGTATGAGGGAGAAGGGGGTATTAGGAATTGATTTTTAAGAGCATACTGAGTAGAACATCATTAGATACAGTCTCAAATAAGTTATATTTTTTAAGAGAAAGGGGGCTGGCAGGTAGGATTTAGTTTCTCCCTGTCTCTGGTCCATTCCACTGCTACTGTTCTAGATGCCTGTTGGGAATATACAAGTAGACAAGGCAGTGGTTTTGGTTGGACAGTTGGAAAGCTTGCTGATGAGAGTGGTTTGAGGGAGTTGGAGGTTGGCCCTTCTGTGGTGATAGGGGATGTTCCTCCGTGGTTATTCACAGATCCTGCTTTTGATCTAACCTTGGTAAAGAAAAGAAAAGATTGGTCAGAAGTCAGTGATATAGGGAAACTGGTTGAAAATTACATTGGTCAAAGTTTTTATGCATTTTTAACGCTTTTCACAGATGGACCCAAGGTCTCAGATATTGGGCACACAGGAGCAGGCATTTACGTTCCTGAATTTGATGTGCAGATATCAGTGGAGGCTGCTGAGGGGAGGACGGTTCATAATAATGGCTGGAAAGGAGCAAATGGAATGGCACCAAACACATGGAAACCATGTGTTTGATGTATTTGATACCGTTCCACTTATTCCGCTCCAGCCATTAACACAAGCCCATCCTCCCCAATTAGGGTACCACCAACCTCCTGTGGCAGGTATGTAGAAGACTAACAGATGAACTGTCAGTATACTCAGCTGAAATGTTGGCGATAGTAGTTGCCCTCCAGTGGGTGGAAGACGTTCAACCTGTCAGAATTATAGTATGCTCAGATTCCCTGTCTGTATTGAATAGTTTATCATCTGGCAAATCTAATAGGAGTGACCTACTATTGGAGGCATTAATGTTATTATGGAGAATTGAGAGACTGGGTGTAGTAGTAAGATTCTGCTGGGTCCCAGCCCATTCGGGTGTGGAAGGGAATGAAATTGTAGACCAGATAGCCAACAGAGCTTTAAAATGAGAGATAATTGATATTAATGTTCCACTGGGTAGAGGTGAGGCCAAATGTAAGACCAGAGCCATGTTGATAGATGTGTGGCAGAAGAGATGGGACTCTGAGCCCAAGGGCCGGCATTTATATGCCCTCCAAAGAAAGGTCGGTGGACCAAGATTCAAAAGTCAGATTAGGAAGGAAGAGGTGGTGCCTGCTCGATTGCACCTAAGACATTGTACATTGAACTCGTCATTACATACATTTACATTTACATTTTAGTCATTTAGCAGACGCTCTTATCCAGAGCGACTTACATGAGCAATTAGGGTTAAGTGCCTTGCTCAAGGGCACATCGACAGATTTTTCACCTAGTCGGCTCGGGGATTAGAACCAGCGACCTTTCGGTTACTGGCACAACGCTCTTACCCACTAAGCTACCTGCCGCCCGTTGGCAAGCATGTGAATGGTTTGTGTCTGGAGTGTATGGTCGATGAAACGGTGGAGCATGTGTTGTTATATTGTTGTAAGTATGTTGAAAAATAGAGAGGGAAAGATTGAAGTGTAGGTCAATGAGGTTGGGGGGGTTTGGAAGGGATTTTGGGGATGGGGGAGCATCTATTAGAAGTTAGTAGGGTTCTTTTTTATTTTATCAGAAGTACTGAGTATGTAAGAGGATTTAGAAATGTGGAGCTAATGTTGTAAACCGTGATTGACCACACACTCCAGCATAGTAGGTGGCGGCATGCACCTTTAACGTTTGTTTGCAAACCGCCATTATATTGAAGAAGAAGAAGAAGAAGAAGAAGAAGAAGAAGAAGAAGAAGAAGAAGGCCCACACTCCAGTACAGTAGGTGGCGGTAATGCACCATAACGTTGGATGCCGATAAACCCCACCGAAGACGAAGAAGGCCGCCTCCATGTGTGCTAATTGTAGGGGTGGCGATGGGGCTGGGGTTCAGACATGTCCAGTGCGAGAGAAGCAGGTTGAGGTATCCAGGGTAAGAGTAGAGAAGAAGTTGTCATATGCTGAGGCAGTGAAGAAAGTAGAGGAAGATGGGTCAAGGGGGAGGGATCCTGAGAGAAATGGTGTGAGTAGTAGAGATGTACCAGTACAGAGGGATAAACCAAAAAGTAATATATGGTTCAGCAAGATTGGATTTTTAGCGTTTATAGCAATGCTTATTAATTGTACTGCGGGATGGAACGCAAATCGAATAAAATTGAGGTGGTGGTGGCAGCTGCAGAGAGATATTTGGGTGTGCGAGACTTGACAGCAGAAGAGTTACAGGGAGTGTTAAGTGGTGATGTCCCATCATTTCAGGTTGAGGGCATGAGGTAGGAGTGGGTGTATTTAAACAGTGGAGAAGGGAGGGGTTAATTATTAGTTGTAGTGTTGAAGGTGTAGTGTTAGATGGTAGGATATTTCTTTGCTTTGGTTTATTTTATTTTTCAAGGAAAGATAAGGGAGTTGAACTCCAGGCTAGTAGGTGGCGGTAATGCAACAAATTGGATGCCAACCGCCGTTAAACCTCATTGAAGAAGAAGATGGCCGCCTCCATTCTAGCCTGAGCGCAAACATACTGTCTTTCTATCTGTGGGAGTCACAACAAACACGATTTACAGTGGGGGAATCGTAACATTCACAAACAGATGTCATCCAAAGAGATTCTGTCTGGACTCAACTCAAGAACGTCAACATCGCAGTGCCCTCTCTAGTATCGCGTGATGGCCAAGCGCTACGCTTGTTCCGTTTACCTGACGTCCATCTGACAGAGAGCGACGCTCGGCTCGTAGCTTTCTCAGTACTGATGGTGAATAGCTACTGCTGTGGTAACGGGCGGAGGAGCAGAAGCCGCAGAAGAGTCAGCAGTAGTAGAGGAGCGGTAGTTTGGGATTCAGCTTTTACACGTATTAATCTTACTCGTATCAACGGAGCTCCCTAAAAACACATAGAAGGGAAGGGAAAATTTAAGAAAGATGGCGGCCGCGGCCTCGCCGGGCTCCTGCTCGTCCACCTCCTCAGACTGGATTGTACTGAGAGACGGTTGCCGTCGTTGCGACGAGGAGGGCCTGCGAAGCCTTTCCTACCACCCGGCCCTTAACGCTATCCTGGCTGTTAATAGCCGGGGCAGTATCAAAGTCATCGACGGCACATCAGGGGCAATTCTCCAAGCCTCGGCCTTGCATGGTAAGTCAGGGCCCAGGGGCTAAGTAACTGTTTTAACTAGGTACGGTTAGTTTGCTAATGTTTAATTATTTTGACAATCACCTCAGTTAACTTGGGGTTAGCTAGCTAGCCGTATTTGGCTAGTTAGCAAATGAAATAACGTTAGAACGTGAATTCTGACGTTTAACTAAAGTACCGATTCACGAAACAATTTGTTTTATCCGATTCCTAACAATTACTTGCATAACATAGTAGCTAGCTAGCTTACTTACTACCTAAATTAAAGCTAGAGTTACATCAAAGTCAGATACTGACAGTGGCAAACTAGCTCCTATCTGGTTAGCTACAGTAGATAGTTACATGTCTTAAGACTCTTGCTGTCAAGACAGTTTGTTAAAATAGTTAGGTAGTTAACTATCTAACTGGCTAACTGAATTTACGCCAATGTTAGCGATTTCTTATGAAAACAGCTCGTTTCGCATCATCAGCTAGCTGGCTAAGCTAGCGAACCCGCTAACATTATCTAACGTTTAACGTCAACATTCAATCAATCGTTAATAATGCGCATATTATAATAGTGCGACTTGGTTAACGTTAGCTATAACGTTAATTAGCTAATCAACTTCCTTGCTGTAAATCCATCACACAACATTACGCCATGTTTAGGTAACATGTTTAGGTAACATTTAGCAAGCTAGATAATCAGCAGTAACTAATGTTAGCTAGCTAGCGAACTAATTGTGATGATACGACTCGGCCTAGCTAGCTAACTAGCTAAATAGCTAATGTTACCTAGCTAACTATGTAACAGTTAGCTAGTGCACTAACTGTTCGTTGGCTGTGTTGGAAAGAGGTACACCATTGTGTAATGGCTGGCTAAGTTATCTGTAAAGAAAGCATTTGTGGACTAGTTTTGTCACATTACTTACAATGTCCAGTTTCGAGTAACTAACGTTAGCTACCCACGTGAAGTTACATCAGTTACTGTAGTTAACTAACGATAGCCTAGGTTTAATATTAGCGTAACTACCAGTTAATAACGTTACATTTGTTAGTCAGGTATGTTAGCTAAGCTGTCAGTTCATCGATGATCACCCGGCCGCGAGCATGTGGTGTCGCAGTAAATGTTCTTAACAAGCGTGCTAGCTATATATAACTAGTTTGTTGCAGAATGTTTATCTAGCTAGCTCTAGCTACTAGTTGGTTATGACGTGTTGTTGCTATTCGTACTACGCAGAACGAGAAAGTATGCAATGCCTGTTGGCAATCTAGCTAGCGAATAGTGTTGTAGCTGTACAATTTGGGGAAGGAAATGGTTGACGATAGTGAGTTAAGTCCGCGTGGGTTTAGTTTTTGACAGTTTATATTTGACGATGCCAAACAATGGAAATGATTGGTGTTTGTTCTACAACGTGACTCCCCATCTGTAGCTACATTGAATCCAATGAGCACAAACATCTGGGTGTATTTTGATGCCTTTCGTCTATAGTGCCCACTGTAGTTAATTTACTACAGTAGTAAAGTTAGCTACCAACTGAATCAATTTGCTGAACTGAAGCTGTAAACCATTTCATGGCTTTTAGTGTTCACTTCAATGTGTAATGTGCTGTAAAATCACTTCCCTCAATGACTTCCCTCTTAGCATATGCACTTAGCTATTTATTTATTAATCTATTTTAACATTGCAGTTGGGGCATCTCCCAGTTCTGAGTGGATGTGTTTATGTCCTCATGTGTTTGGGTATGCAGTATGCTGGACTGACTGTTTTACATTACAGCACAGAATGAAGTGGTAATAACATAGTTAAAGGCTATAGGAGTGTCTGGGGGGAAATGTTTTAATTGTAAGTAACTATAACATTACAGTAGTAGTAGTAAATAATAATAATAATAATAATAAAAAATTGTTATCCAATAGGGCAATGCATTCATTATTTTGGGGGAGACTGTAATTGAAATTTAAACACAAGTTTTGTAAATTGTTTAGGCTTTACATTTCATTCTGAAGTGCAACATCTCCTTGTAAGCCTTGATTGTTTCTTGGTGCTGCATTATGCCAAACAATGATACATAACCAGTTGTTTTCAGTCAGGATGCCCATGAGATTATTGTGACTGTAACTAGCAACTTGCAGTTTACCTCTTCAATATTTCAAAGACTAAATTCAAAGATTTAGGCTATTTTAGTATCTGATTAACATGATCTGACAGCAGAGGTCCAGCCAATGCTATGTCTTAGTAGCTAAACCCTTGATGTTTGTGTTTCCTAGCTAAACCTGGAGGCCGTGTTAGGTGTCAGTACTTCCCTGCGGTAGACAAGGTCCTCTTCGTGGACGACTATGCAGTGGGCTGCAGAAAGGACTTGAACGGCATCCTGCTGCTGGATACAGCCCTGCAGGCCCCCGTGGCCAAACCAGAGGACATGGTCCAGCTAGAGCTGCCTGTCACAGAGGTAAGAGAGCTAGCCAGTGCACATAGCACTCACAAAAGTTGTCTTTTAAACCCATTGACATAGAATAGCTGACATTAATATGTTCACAAACAATGGTATTATAGTACCACACACAATGAACAACAATGATCAATGCTCAAAAACAGTGGTACTTTGGCTGATTGTCATCTTACCTTTATGTTTTTAATGCATCTATTTTTTAAATATAAACTTTTACTGTTGTGAGTGCAAAATATGTCACCGGTATCAATCGTTTGAATATGTCCCACTACTGCAAGCATTGTCTACCTTGCTCTAAGATCACACAAACCTGACGACAGGCCTGCTTAGTAATGTAGAAAAACTGGTCCACAGTGAGAGCACACATGCTAACTGTGGAGAATCCACCACTCCTGTTCATTTATGTCTTAATGAGTATGACAATTCTTGGCCTGTGCTAATAAATCAAATCAAATCAAATCAAATTTTATTGGTCACATGCGCCGAATACAACAGGTGCAGACATTACAGTGAAATGCTTACTTACAGCCCTTAACCAACAGTGCATTTATTTTAAACAAGAAAGTAAGAATAAAACAACAACAAAAAAGTGTTGAGAAAAAAAGAGCAGAAGTAAAATAAAGTGACAGTAGGGAGGCTATATATACAGTAAAATAAAGTGACAGTAGGGAGGCTATATATACAGGGGGGTACCGTTGCATAGTCAATGTGCGGGGGCACCGGCTAGTTGAGGTAATATGTACATGTGGGTAGAGTTAAAGTGACTATGCATAAATACTTAACAGAGTAGCAGCAGCGTAAAAAGGATGGGGTGGGGGGGGCAGTGCAAATAGTCCGGGTAGCCATGATTAGCTGTTCAGGAGTCTTATGGCTTGGGGGTAGAAGCTGTTGAGAAGTCTTTTGGACCTAGACTTGGCACTCCGGTACCGCTTGCCGTGCGGTAGCAGAGAGAACAGTCTATGACTAGGGTGGCTGGAGTCTTTGACAATTTTGAGGGCCTTCCTCTGACACCGCCTGGTATAGAGGTCCTGGATGGCAGGGAGCTTTGCCCCAGTGATGTACTGGGCCGTACGCACTACCCTCTGTAGTGCCTTGCGGTCAGAGGCCAAGCAGTTGCCATACCAGGCGGTGATGCAACCAGTCAGGATGCTCTCGATGGTGCAGCTGTAGAATTTTTTGAGGATCTGAGGACCCATGCCAAATCTTTTTAGTCTCCTGAGGGGGAATAGGCTTTGTCGTGCCCTCTTCACGACTGTCTTGGTGTGTTTGGACCATGATAGTTCGTTGGTGATGTGGACACCAAGGAACTTGAAGCTCTCAACCTGTTCCACTACAGCCCCGTCGATGAGAATGGGGGCGTGCTCAGTCCTCTTTTTTTTCCTGTAGTCCACAATCATCTCCTTTGTCTTGGTCACGTTGAGGGAGAGGTTGTTGTCCTGGCACCACACGGCCAGATCTCTGACCTCCTCCCTATAGGCTGTCTCATCGTTGTCGGTGATCAGGCCTACCACTGTTGTGTCGTCGGCAAACTTAATGATGGTGTTGGAGTCGTGCCTGGCCATGCAGTCATGGGTGAACAGAGAGTACAGGAGGGGACTGAGCACGCACCCCTGAGGGGCCCCCGTGTTGAGGATCAGTGTGGCAGATGTGTTGTTACCTACCCTTACCACCTGGGGGCGGCCCGTCAGGAAGTCCAGGATCCAGTTGCAGAGGGAGGTGTTTAGTCCCAGGATCCTTAGCTTAGTGATGAGCTTAGAGGGCACTATGGTGTTGAATGCTGAGCTGTAGTCAATGAATAGCATTCTCACGTAGGTGTTCCTCTTGTCCAGGTGGGAAAGGGCAGTGTGGAGTGCGATAGAGATTGCATCATCTGTGGATCTGTTGGGGCGGTATGCAAATTGGAGTGGGTCTAGGGTTTCTGGGATTATGCTGTTGATGTGAGCCATGACCAGTCTTTCAAAGCACTTCATGGCTACAGACGTCAGTGCTACGGGTCGGTAGTCATTTAGGCAGGTTATCTTAGAGTTCTTGGGCACGGGGACTATGGTGGTCTGCTTGAAACATGTTGGTATTACAGACTCAGTCAGGGACATGTTGAAAATGTCAGTGAAGACACTTGCCAGTTGGTCAGCACATGCTCGGAGTACACGTCCTGGTAATCCGTCTGGCCCTGCGGCCTTGTGAATGTTGACCTGCTTAAAAGTCTTACTCACATCGGCTACGGAGAGCGTGATCACATAGTCGTCCGGAACAGCTGGTGCTCTCGTGCATGCTTCAGTGTTGCTTGCCTCGAAGCGAGCATAGAAGTGGTTTAGCTCGTCTGGTAGGCTTGTGTCACTGGGCAGCTCGCGGCTGTGCTTCCCTTTGTAGTCTGTAATAGTTTTCAAGCCCTGCCACATCCGACGAGCGTCAGAGCCAGTGTAGTATGATTCAATCTTAGACCTGTATTGACTCTTTGCCTGTTTGATGGTTCGTCGGAGGTCATAGCGGGATTTCTTATAAGCGTCCGGGTTAGAGTCCCGTTCCTTGAAAGCGGCAGCTCTACCCTTTAGCTCAGTGCGGATGTTTCCTGTAATCCATGGCTTCTGGTTGGGGTATGTACGTACGGTCACTGTGGGGACGACATCATCGATGCACTTATTGATGAAGCCAGTGACTGATGTGGTGTACTCCTCAATGCTGTCTGAAGAATCCCGGAACATGTTCCAGTCTGTGCTAGCAAAACAGTCCTGTAGCTTAGCATCTGCGTCATCTGACCACTTTTTTATTAGCCGAATCACTGGTGCTTCCTGCTTCAGTTTTTGCTTATAAGCAGGAATCAGGAGGATAGAGTTATGGTCAGATTTGCCAAATGGAGGGCGAGGGAGAGCTTTGTATGCGTCTTTGTGTGTGGAGTAAAGGTGGTCTAGAGTTTTTTCCCCTCTGGTTGCACATTTAACATGCTGGTAGAAATGAGGTAGAACGGATTTAAGTTTCCCTGCATTAAAGTCCCCGGCTACTAGGAGCGCTGCATCTGGATGAGCGTTTTCCTGTTGATTAATGGCCTTGTACAACTCATTCAGTGCAATCTTACCTCAGACTTTCATGTAAATCATGCATCTCAGTGGGAGATTTGCGTAAAAATGTGTGTGAATCTAAAGTTAGGAATCGATCATTACACCCCTGAAATAATTAATGAGGGTGCTCATCTTTGTTTCATGTCCTTTGCTATCTCTGGCCTGTGGTATCTGTATGGCCTGGTTACACTAACTTTTTTAAATTGAACTATTTGAACACAGCGTTTCCCCCTCTGGTGAGTCAATATAGCCTACAGACAGTTGCAATTGGACCCATTGTGGTATTCTAGCCTTTTCCTGAAAAGGGATGCACAGAGAAACCGCAATTTATAATTTCAGAGAAAGCCTTAGTGTTTCTATTGCTGAGTTGCCATTGTAATTGTAGAATGTATTAATGTAGGCTACTATTAGGGATGTGACAGATGGACAATTGTTCTTAACGTTTAAACTGACATTTTATCTGTTTTCCATTAAACCGATAACATTTCATAAAATTAGATGTGAATTTCTATTGTGTGGTATGACCGTTAGGTGTGATGAAATTGTATCAGTCATACGGTAGGCTTAGGCATCTGGAATCTGCTTTGTGGCTTCCTGAAGGCAGGTGAAATTTTGTCCCGAAGACAACCGTTCATTCACGTTGTGATTTATGTGCATTAGCGACTCTCAACTCTCCCATGTTTCATGAGCTGAAATAAGATTCCAGACATTTTCCATACGCACAAAAATATTATTTATCTCAAATTTTGTGTACAAATTTGTTTACATCCCTCTTAGTGAGCATTTCCCCTTTGCCAAGATAATCCAGTCACCTGACAGGTGTGGCATATCAAGAAGCTGATTAAACAGCATGATCATTACACAGGTGCATCTTGTACTGGGGACAATAAAAGGCCACTCTAAAATGTGCAATTTTGTCACATAACACAATGCCACAGATGTCTCAAGTTTTGAGGGAGCGTGCAACTGGAATGCTGACTGCAGGAATGTCCACCAGAGCTGTTGTTAATTTCTCTACCATAAGCCGCATCCAACTTCGTTTTAGAGAATTTGGCAGTACGTCTAAACCGGCCTCACAACCGCAGACCACGTGCTACTACGCCAGCCCATAAATGGACTGGTTGATTTAAATGAGGGAAATATGTGTTCCAACCACGAGCTGCAGTGTTGGAATAATAGACACGTCTCGTCTATTTTGGGCTTTTTTGCCAGCTGCTATACTGTGCCATTTAGAATAGGTTACAACCTCCCCTAAACCTAGGCAGAAACATTATTTTGATGAAGGCAAATAGCCTATTCATTAGTCTAGGGGCCTACTTTGTTTCATGTTTAACAAAAGCAGGCTTCAGTAGCGTGAGTCGCGGCTCAAATGGCGCTTGCAGTCCTTCATTTAAGAAATTACCTTCGCAACTCAAGTAAGCTATGGACAAGGGTTACGTATCAACTGCAATGATTTCTTTAATCAGCACTTTTTCCCCCCAACTCTTAACGACGCTGACGTGCTGAGCGCTTCATCTGTTGCAAATAATTAGAAAGATGCATATCCCCTCTTACTAATGTTACAGCATTGTTACGTTAGGTAGGACATATATATATATATATATCTTTTTTCCTTTATGATGATGATCAGGACCTGTTAGTAGTAGTTTATGATAACACAGTGATTTAAGTTTTGTGGGGGGGGGTAAACTCATTGTTTTTCGCTTAAGGATTTTTTTGTTAAAGATTCAATTTCATTTAAATGTTCACACCCATGAATTTTACCAAGCAAATTGATGCTAAAGGTGAATATTTCATTTTTTAGGCTACACACTGGAAACTGTTTCCCTTTGCCTGATATACACTGACAGACTTTCTTTAATTATTCTTTATTTAAACAGTTTCTTGTTGTACCGGCCCATCAAAAGTCATAGCAAGTTTAGCCAGATCGTTTTAACCCTTGACTGTTGCAAACCTGTTGGTTTCAAAGCAAGGCTTACTTTACTTTATGACCTTTGTCTGTTTTATATGTGCCCCATGTCTAAATCATTACAGGCTATCTGGTGTGGTTTGCTCACAGACAGTAGGCCTATGTACTCAGACGTTTTCCCTCCTCATTCCTCTGAGAGACTGATGGATGTTTTAATCATCACACCACAGGCGCTTAGATCTGAGCACACACAGCCTATATCCCAGCCAAGACCATGTTTTATTCCTCATTGAAATGCTCAGAAGGTGTCCCAATATTTATATTGACTGCATGCCAGTGCATGTGCACCTATGCTTTACTGGAGGGGGATAAAGGGAAAGGGTTGCCTTAAGTTATCCAGTAAGAATAATATTTAGTAAAACCGTTTTATTCTAAGATGCCCCTTTCCCACCCGGTTACACAGCTAATTTGCATTTGTTGGTCCACCTGTAGAGTGGAGCTTGTTTTTTTCAGTCCTTGCATCCATTGCTGTCTATGAATTTGACAGTGGTTACATGGCATGGTCAGACTGGTTGAAATGACAGATTGTAAAAATAATAATAACCCCTTTGGGCTGCTGCCCTCTGTGGGAACGGCTGGGTGTACTTTGTGCTGTCAGTATTATTGATCTACCCAGGCTGTTCCTCCTCTCCTACAGCAGTCTGTTACTGTTAACTCCCTCCCTCCTGCCTGCCTGCTTTGTCACATCTGATCTGCCCCATCTCTCCAAGGCTCTATCTAATGAGTATTGACCGCATCTCCATGCCAGCTAGCGGTGGATAATGCTGCTACTAGAAGTTACTCAGGAAAATCAATCATATTACTAGCAAGCCTAGCCTAGTGAGTTTTACTGGACAATGAGAACAATATTTTTTATGTAACATATTTGTGAATGATTTATGTAATTTGCGATCTGAATCTAATGAGTCAACAACAACTGGCATACGACCTTGGTTCCATCATTGAACCCATTATTGTATCTCTGCCCCTTGTACTATGCCGTGAGTGTGGATCTATGTGTGTGTTCCCTGCAGGCTCAGCAGATGCTCTCGGCCTGCCTGGAGAAGGTAGATGTGTCCAACACGGAGGGCTACGACATCTTCATCACTCAGCTCAAAGAAGGGCTGAAGAATACCTCACACGAGACGGCAGCCAATCACAAAGTGGCCAAGGTGAGTCACACTCAGCGCTCTGGGAGGAGGCGAACTGTGTCACAACTTGCCTACTAACCCATATTCATGTTGTGGTGTTTTCTGCCTTTGTTAGACAAATGCACCAAACAGGTGTAGCTGTTAGCTTCAGTTGTCTAACATAACACCTATCTCTGATTGTACTGTGACACCACAAGTTGTCAATCACCTGTTAGAGAGCATGCCAGGGGTTGAACAAGTTGGTCCATTGACTGTGCAGTAGTGCAAACATTAGGCAAATTTGCCTTCAATTATTCAAAACCTGCCAGCTCTTATTAGTGGGGCTGACAGTCAGTTACTGTTACGGTACGTGTTTCTTTTAAGGTTCTTAGTATTCTGCGCGCAGCAGTCAGTGACCTACACAAAAATGCAATCAGGTAAAAGTATAGCGTGCATAGCTTGTTGCCACACATTCTAATCAGTGCTAGGCTAGGGGAGCTGATATAGCAGAGTGTGCTGCTGGGGCAGAGCTGTCATCTCCCGTGGCAGAGGTGTTGCTCAGATATAACAGCTCTAACGCTAGGGAATGCCAGTTCTTCAGCAGTGTGTGGAGCGAAGTCAAAGGAGACTAAAGATCATGCTATTTTAATCAAAGCTTCACAATTGAAAATCTACTAATGGATTGAAATGGGAATGCTAATTTGAGGTCTTTAGCCTAGGCCTATATCGTGTGTAGGGCTGTGACGGTCATGGAATTTGGGATGACGGTTATTGGTCACAGAATATTTTTTTATATAATTATTTTTTAAACTCATTTTGTCCTCTGCTCATGACTGCATATGCTGCCATAGAAATGTAATGAATAGAACGGGCGTCCCCATTCAAGTCAATCATGGTATAATGGGTGGACTGGTGGCCATTGCAAGTGTAGCCATAGGAGCAAAGCAGGAAGTAAAATCAGGAAGTGTACCCAGGGCTCTAAATTGAAATGTGTCATTGGTAGCACTGGTGCTCCCAATTAAAAACATGTATTGATTGAGATACAGCCTATGTTGGGTCTATATGAATTCTACTACTTTTGAAGAACATGTTGTGCCCTAGAAACTAATTTGTAACACTGTAAATGTGTTTATTTATTATAAAAGCTAAAATGTTGATACAATTACCTGTCATTGAAATTAGTCCCTTATGGAATATTAGATTTCTACATTGAGTAAAAGCTCTATTTTCCTGTTGAGGTGCATTACACTGAACATTAATAAAACATAATAATATGCAAGAGATCTGTCATGCATTCATTGCTATGATCATTGATCTCTTTCTGTGTCCCCCAAATGTTTCGATATACTGGTAAAGGTAGTCAAATGGGTCAGATCTTTTGACCTGGTTGGTCTAAAAGCACTATTACAGCATTTTTGCTGTAATAGTGGTGCAACCATGACCCTAACAAATCTGCACTGGGCTTGTTTCTCTAGGGCACTTGGAAACAACGGTACAGCGTACAACAAGTATTATCTGGGAGATTTTGTTCATAGTCGCACAGTGCTCCCAAAATAAAACTAAAACTAGTCGCACAGCAAAATATTTTGTCGCATATGTGACCAACTTGGTCGTACTTTAGAGCCCTGAGAGTACCCATCAATGTTTTGTGATTTGTTGATTAAACTCAACTGATTTTACAAAAAATAAATCCCATTGCACAAGCCACATCAGTTATCATTTGAATGAACATTATGCATTACCTTGAAAATGATTGAAACACAATACCAGGCAGCCATTGCGAGTGTACCCATGAGTTTACCAGTCAAATTGCCAGGGTTAGAGGTTCCAAGCCTGTTCTATTCATTCTATTTCAATGTGACTCAACCCCACAAGTGCCCTGCCGTCCTGCTGTTCGTTCCGCACACACAAAAAAACAGTTAAACGGTTTTGACGGTTTATTTTATTTTCATGACGGTCTTCATCCGTAACTGTCGGTTATACGGTAATTGTGCCAGCCCTAATCGTGTGATTGTAATTTGGTAGCGTTCTGCTTCCCATGATATCGTGTTGCTCTGTGGATGGATAATGTGCGGTTTTGGTTCTAGCAAAGCTGGCGATTCTTCAGTCGGCTTGTTGTAATTCCACCACACACTCCCAAACCAGTGCCCTTTTATGTTCAGTGCAGGTCTAACAGGAAAGACTGTGGTTGTGTGACATTGCATTTGTCTCTTTGATTATGCGTACATGCGCTCTATTTCACTGCCGGTGAGATCCTGAGACCTGACTGCAGTCTGCGACACAAAGAGCAGAGACTGCAGACCTCATCGGCATATTAATAGCCAGAGCAGGGGGACGAGCACCGCTTCTGTCACAATGCCCACTCTCCACTCTGTGTAATTGAACCTGGGCTAAAACAAATCAGAAAGATTTCAAAATCTTAAGAACATCCCCACCTCCCTCGACGCATACAGTTTGGCCAGAAAGCCATCGGTGTGTAATGTGAAAGCCAAGGCACTGGGAAATCCCCATTTACTCACCCCTTTACTTCCTCCTCCAGAATTTGATGTATCTCTCCTGGTATGTGCTGGGCTGCCAAGGGCTGAGGAAGCTACCTTGCCACTGCCTCTGTGGGCCTCCTTGTCAGGCTGCTTCTGCAGCAAACCACCATCCATTACACTGACTACAATTGTCCAATCTGCTAGTCACTGGCAGATGGTGATGCTGGTCCAAGTTCAACATTAGCCTTTAAGACTCTCAATGTGTGACACACTCAATATTTCATATATATATATATATATATGTATATATGTAGGTGAGTCCAAACTTTTGACTGGTAATATATATATATATCTATATATGTCAAAAGTTTGGACACACCTACTCATTCAAGGGTTTTTCTTTATTTTTACTATTTTCTACATTGTAGAATGTAAGTGAAGACATCAAAACTATGAAAGAACACATATGGAATCATGTAGTAACCAAAAAAGTGTTAAACAAATCTAAATATATTTTATATTTGAGATTCTTCAAATAGCCACCCTTTGCCTTGATGACAGCTTTGCACACGCTTGGCATTCTCTCAACCAGCTTCATCAGGAATGCTTTTCCAACAGTCTTGAAGGAGTTCCCTCATATGCTGAGCACTTGTTGGCTGCTTTTCCTTCACTCTGCCATCCGACTCATCCCAAACCATCTCAGTTGGGTTGAGGTTGGGGGATTGTGGAGGCCAGGTCATCTGATGCAGCACTCCATCACTCTCCTTCTTGGTAAAATAGCCCTTACACAGCCTGGAGGTGTGTTGGGTCATTGTCCTGTTGAAAAACAAATGATACCATCACACCTCTTCCATGCTTCACGGTGGGAAACACATGCGGAGATCATCCGTTCACCTACTCTGCGTCTCACAAAGTCACTGTGGTTGGAAACAAATCTCACATTTTCACTCATCAGACCAAATGACAGATTTCCACCGGTCTAATGTCCATTGCTCGTGTTTCTTGGCCGAAGCAAGTCTCTTCTTCTTATTGGTGTCCTTTTAGTAGTGGTTGCTTTGCAGCAATTTGACCGTGAAGGCTTGATTTCACAAAGTCCCCTCTGAACAGTTGATGTTGAGATGTGTCTGTGACTTGAACTCTGTTAAACATTTATTTGGGCTGCAATTTATGAGGCTGGTAACTCTAATGAACTTATCCTCTGCAGCAGAAGTAACTCTTGGTCTTCCATTCCTGTGGCGGTCCTCATGAGAGCCAGTTTCATCATAGCGCTTGATGGTTTTTGCGACTGCACGTGAAGAAACTTTCAATGTTCTTGAAATGTTCCATATTGACTGACCTTCATGTCTTAAGCACCGTAGCACTGACGTCTGTAGCCATGAAGTGCTTTGAAAGGCTGGTCATGGCTCACATCAACAGCATTATCCCAGAAACCCTAGACCCACTCCAATTTGCATACCGCCCCAACAGATCCACAGATGATGCAATCTCTATTGCACTCCACACTGCCCTTTCCCACCTGGACAAGAGGAACACCTAAGTGAGAATGCTATTCATTGACTACAGCTCAGCATTCAACACCATAGTGCCCTCAAAGCTCATCACTAAGCTAAGGATCCTGGGACTAAACACCTCCCTCTGCAACTGGATCCTGGACTTCCTGACGGGCCGCCCCCAGGTGGTAAGGGTAGGTAACAACACATCTGCCACACTGATCCTCAACACGGGGGCCCCTCAGGGGTGTGTGCTCAGTCCCCTCCTGTATTCCCTGTTCACCCATGACTGCATGGCCAGGCACGACTCCAACACCATCATTAAGTTTGCCGACGACACAACAGTGGTAGGCCTGATCACCGACAACGATGAGACAGCCTATAAGGAGGAGGTCAGAGACCTGGCCGTGTGGTGCCAGGACAACAACCTCTCCCTCAACGTGACCAAGACAAAGGAGATGATTGTGGACTACAGGAAAAAAAAGAGGACTGATCACGCCCCCATTCTCATCGACGGGGCTGTAGTGGAACAGGTTGAGAGCTTCAAGTTCCTTGGTGTCCACATCACCAACGAACTATCATGGTCCAAACACACCAAGACAGTCGTGAAGAGGGCACGACAAAGCCTATTCCCCCTCAGGAGACTGAAAAGATTTGGCATGGGTCCTCAGATCCTCAAAAAATTCTACAGCTGCACCATCGAGAGCATCCTGACTGGTTGCATCACCGCCTGGTATGGCAACTGCTTGGCCTCCGACCGCAAGGCACTACAGAGGGTAGTGCGTACGGCCCAGTACATCACTGGGGCCAAGCTTCCTGCCATCCAGGACCTCTATACCAGGCGGTGTCAGAGGAAGGCCCTCAAAATTGTCAAAGACTCCAGCCACCCTAGTCATAGACTGTTCTCTCTGCTACCGCACGGCAAGCGGTACCGGAGTGCCAAGTCTAGGTCCAAAAGACTTCTCAACAGCTTCTACCCCCAAGCCATAAGACTCCTGAACAGCTAATCATGGCTACCCAGACTATTTGCACTGCCCCCCCACCCCATCCTTTTTACGCTGCTGCTACTCTGTTAATTATTTATGCATAGTCACTTTAACTCTACCCACATGTACATATTACCTCAACT